ACTGGGATGGCTAGTACGTTAATTTTTCATTCACTTATTAGAAATATGTATATACCCTCTTTAGTTTCACCAGCTTCTGAAGCAGGAAGTCGTCTCAGGAAAGGACTTGAGCTCCTGAAGACATGAGAAGGCTGGCAGGGCTTTCCCTTCCAATGACACCATCCTGATGGTTTCATGAAGATGTTAAACAAGATGAGGGACAAGATGAAACTCTGTGGAACTCACTAAGCCAAATGCCATGGTGTCAAACAGTAAGCCACTATCACCACCTGAAACCTACACTCCAAGGTGGATTAGAACCACTATAAAACAGTGCCTTCAATTCCTATCTCTGCTGGCACATAGCATGCAGTGGCCAATGGTATTGAAAGCTGGTAAGAGAGTCAGCAGAACCAATAGGGATGCTCCTACTCCTGTCCAGCTTCTGGGATAGCATACCCTCCAACATTTTTCTGATGGAAATAGGGACATCCTGTTCAACAACAACAATTTTATTATTTATATACCACCCATCTGACTGGGTTGCCCCAGCTACTCTGGGTGGCTTCCAACATATATAAAAAACACAACAAAACATTAAATATCAATGTTTAATGTCTTCTAAAGGTTGTATAGTTACTTATCTCTTTGGCTCAGGCATCACATAGCTCCATACCTGCCAACATTTCTCCTATGAAAACAGGGAAGTCCTGAGGAAAAGTGGGAGATTCCAGGATCAAATCTGAAACCGATACGGCTTCTTTAAATCCAGGACTGTCACTGGAAAATAGGGGCACTTGGAGGGTCTGGGGTAGATCATCCATCAGGACAGTCTTGGATCCCCAAAGCAGTCAGAAACCATATTGAAACAGATTGAGATGATCAGTATCAGGCTGAAGAAATACCTGGAATTGAATCACTCTCACTTCTGAGGTATGCTTGGGGGTATGTAAAACAAAGGCCTAATCATAGTAGTGGTTTATGACATCACTCACTCCGAGCTCAGGAACAATGAGTCCTCATGAACCACCAGGTGTCGGCTGAAATATCTGTCTTCCATCAACTTCTGAAGTGATCAAAGCCAGGCTTGCAGTAAAAAGGGACGAAAATGGGTGGGACAAAAATGCTCCCAGAGAACACTTGCGGTGTCAAAGTGCCTCAAAAGTTATCATGGAGCTCTATGATTGAGATAATAGAGGACAACGGTGAGTTAGAACTTCCGGAAATAATGTGATGTTGATGGTATCCTTTATTATTGTGTGAACTGGTAGCTGCTAGATCCAGGCTTCAGGCCAGATTCTTCCCTTCAAATGTGGGTCCCTTTCCTACTTGCCAGCAGAGCACTCCCACTGCACATTCATTTGCTGTCTGTCTCCTTCTGAGTCCATACAAGGCAAAAGGATGTTCCATCTCATTCTGGTAATTGCCTGTGTGCTTGGAGAGTGGAGGCAAATAGACAGTGACTTTAGGCCTGGAGGAGGAGCAGGCCTTGGAGCAGGCCCCTTGCATGGTTGAGACGAGGGTTGCACTGTGGTCTAAACTGCAGAGCCTCTTGGGCTTGCCGATCAGAAGATTGGTGGTTCGAATCCCCGCGACGGGGTGAGCTCCTATTGCTCTGTCCCAGCTCCTGCCTGCCTAGCAGTTTGAAAGCACACCAGTGCAAGTAGATAAATAGGTACCACTGCGGCCGGAAGATAAATGGTGTTTCTGTGTGCTCTGGTTTCCATCACCAGAAGCAGTTTAGTCATGCTGGCCACATGACCTGGAAAGCTGTCTGTGGACAAACGCCGGTTCCCTTGGCCTGAAAGCGAGATGAGCGCCACAAACCCAGCCTTTGACTGGACTTAACTCTCCAGGGGTCCTTTACCTTTACCTTGTAGGGCTTGGAAAGTGTCTGACAATGCTGAATCCTGACTAGTCCAGCATCTTGTTCCCACAGTGCACAACAGTGGGCGAATGTTTTCCTATATTGAAGACGGTTGGACTAGATGACCCTTGTGGTCCCTTCCAACTCTACAATTCTATGTATTCTAAGCTGGACCTATGTTTTCACCTTGCACAATGTGCTAACATAACTGGAAGGGGAAATGCTGTAAGAGTGGTCATTTTAATACCAGGGAACAGTTTAGTGTGGTCCAATACAGTGGTACCTATAGTTACAAACTGAATTCGTTCTTAACCTGAAACTGTGAACTAGAGGCGTGCTTTCGCTAATGGGGCCTCCTGCTGCCTCTGCACCGCCGGCACACAATTTCCGTTCTCATCCTGGGGCAAAGTTCTCAACTCGAGGTAACTCTTCCAGGTTAGCGGAGTTTGTAACCCGAAGCATTTGTACCCTGAGGCGTTTGTAGCTCGAGGTACCACTGTAGTTCAGTAAGGCTATTTTTGCCCACAACTCATACCAAGCAACAGAGTCGTCCACAAACTTTTCAGATTTGTAAAGTTCCTGAATGGAATTGACATGGGCTTGAAAGTTTTGTTATTCCCCCCCCCCCCAGGTCCAGCTCCATGGATTTTTCTCTCACCCTCTGTGCAAGTTTATCTCCCACTCTTGCCCTTATAGTAGACAAAAACATGTTTAATAAGCACATGGTTCAAGTTTGGCCCTAAGTGGACATAAGATTTCTGCCTTAGGGTGCTGCCAGAAGGGTGTTTATTGTAGGATATCTGCTTCTCTAGTATACATTGTTTTTGCAGAGTCCATACAACAGTGCATGTCCTGTAACTTTTAGCACCATTCAAAGTTTGTTTTGTTCTTGTTTTGTCCCGGTTTCGTTGTGCTGCAGCACAATAACATTGGTGTTAAACAGATAAAAAGTTGACTACCAACAAAGTAACATACTCCTCTGCCTAGTGATGGGCTTTCCTCTGCTTTCCTCTTTTTAGGAACTGGGAAGCCTGTCCGGTCCACGATGCCAAGAAGCTCCGTCCACCAGGTCATAGCTGGAGCCCAATGATCCTTATCCATAAAAGCCGTTTTGAAATATCCTTTCCAACTCTTGGCATGAAGTGGTTCCAAGGGTGGAGCTATGCAGATGAAGGGGTGGGGCTATATAAATATGCCCTCCCAGTGGCTCTTGTGTTCTGCGCTGAACAAAGTACAGTGGTACCGCGAGTTACAGATGCTTCAGGTTACAGACGCTTCAGGTTACAGACTCCGCTAACCCAGAAATAGTACCTTGGGTTAAGAACTTTTGCTTCAGGATGAGAACAGAAATCGTGCGGTGGCAGCGGGAGGCCACATTAGCTAAAGTGGTACCTCAGGTTAAGAACAGTTTTAGGTTAAGAACAGACCTCCAGAACGAATTAAGTTCTTAACCCGAGCTACCACTGTAGATAGGCTGCAAATCTGCAACAGCCTTGAGGAGGCAAAATTTTACCCTCAGCCTAGACACCAGGGATTTTGACTGCTTTGGAACAATCACAGTAGCTTTTTACTTCCCTCCATGAAAGCAGATGGCTATCAATTTCTCCTATGGGGGAAAAATAAAACATTGCACTTGGAAACAATCTGGCACAGGGGGCAAAATCCACCTTCCAATCCTGGCTCTGAATGGCCTGCCTTCCTACCTGCATGTATGGAATGCATAATTCTTTTTACCTAGCTGTGCCTGCAATCATGCCCAAGAATTATTTTCCTGTGATAGGCACACACTTGTTAACCCATCTACTGCCTCCCTGCTTGCATCAAGCCTTGCCTGTTTTGAGAAACCAGAGGACTGGTTGGTATTCTGTAACTTTCCCAGCCTGCTTTGTTTTAAGCTTCTTTGGCTTCTACCAGCTTGATTTGTATTTATATCCAGGCATGGTAGTTACCGCATGAATGCATATTAATTATACACAAACGACAAATGCTCTTTACACATCGTCCCTCTTTTCTGCTGCTGCACCTTGTCCCATCCCAGAACCTGGAAGGAATTCTGGGAGCTGCTGCTCTTCAGAAATCATGTGCCACACAGGAAGACATACTCACTGGCAACATTTACAGTTTTCCTCCACACATACCCTCCCCATCCAAATGATGAATGTCGCTTTCTAAAAAAAATAAACAGAAGTGAGTTCTGCAACATGCGGTGAAACATCGCACAAGGATAGCAGAGGCATGTTTTCATTTTTAAGTATGGCTGGCTCTACTGAATGACTCAGGTCTCAGTGAAGAATTTGTGTTGTTGCTGAAGAATGTCCAATTTGGAGCTTACGGAACCACAGGTTCAAGCAGAGCGAGTAAGGAAAAGCTTACCATCCAGGAATAGGCAGCGGCATTCTGAAATATTTACAGCGCTGGGCCATGCAGGCAGTTCCCCTGCACAGAGTGCCAGACCACAAAAAAACAATAGTAATAAAAGCCTATATTTATACGGGTACCTACTCAAAGTTAGGGGGGCACCAAATTTTGTCCTTTCCCAGGGCGCCATATTACCAAAGTCCGCCCTTGTATATTTGTTAGAAGGGGGGAAATGCCTACGAGTGGTCTTGTACTTTGGTATAAGCATTATACAATACGATACAATAATCTTTATTGTCATTGTCCCATACAGAACAACGAAATTGAAGAAATCTACACCAGACATTCAAAAACCAACAAGCCTGCTATCCCAGCTATCCCAGCCTGGTTAGCCCCCTAAAAACTCTGATACCCCATAATTAAATACAATATATTCCCATAGAGACTACCTTACACTGCGTTTAAAGCCAAAATCACATTTGAATAGAAACTGTTTCTCAGGCTGCTAGTCCTAGTCTTTATAAGCCTGTACCTTCTTCCAGTAGGCAGAAGCTGAAAGAGATCATTTCCGGGGTGCGCACTATCCTGCACTATGTCTGCAGCTTTCTTATGGCACCTGGAAGCATAGATTTGATCCAAGGTGGGAAGAGTACACCCAATTATTCTCTCCGCAGTCTTTACAACCCTGGACAGCATTGTTTTACCTGACCGTTCTGAGGCATGTGGCCATAGCAAAGGCTAAGGCTGTGTACACACTATAACTTTAAAGCGCATTAAAAAGCACCTTCTTTCCATCAAAGAATTCTGGACACTGTAGTTTGCCCTTCAAAGAGTTAAACTCAGCAACCCTTAAGAGACCAGAAATCCCAGAATTCTTTGAGGGAAAGAAGGTACTTCCAATGTGGTTGTGTGTGGGGAATGTGATCTGCTTGTGTGATGGGACTGCAGTCATCCACATCCCTTCGATCTTCTCTGAAAGGATGGGGGAACCTCCAGAACAGGTTTAAGTGGGGCAAAGCAGAATGGGGAGGGAAGTCTCAATGTGTGCATGCATACACCACGTAGGGCTACACTGAATTCTTCCCATAAGCGTGTTTCCCAGATATGTGTCTAATTAAGGGAAATCTATTTCTGACAATAAGATTGCTTTGCTTCTTTCCTGTAGTAGTCTTAGTGTTTTAATATTTTTCGTCCTCAGATTCCTCGTGTAACTTACCCATGTTCTCCTTCAGAGTGGAGAACGTTCCAGCCTGTGGTCACCTTTGTCCAGCCCAGAATAGTTGAGCAGCCTGATGCAGCTAGCTTGAAGAAGCAATGCCCGTATCGGAAGAAGCTGGAAAAGCAGAAGAAAAAGGCCCTGAAGAAAAGGTAAGATATAGGACACTGAGTTTCTAAGTCTACAAGCCTGACTTGAAGTAATAAATGAATACTCCTTTAAGCGAAATCTCCAAGCTTTGCTGCTTGGAGCGTAAAGGATTCAGGCTGTTCTATGCTGGTGCTAACACTGGTGTTAAACTGACTGTATAGGGTTGCCTGGTCCAAACAAAAACAAAGCAGATCAAACAATACTGCAAATTCAAGCAAGAGTGCAAATGCAGAAACAATGCAAAATACACAATTTAAAGCAACACCATCACATTTTCTGGCCCTTACTCAAGAAATATACTTGAGGAAAGATATCCGGTAAACATATTTGCAAGATATTGGCAAAACAAAATGGAAGTTCTCTCTTAGACCAACTTGATTGTCTTATAAATGTAAGTTAACAGAATAATGAAAGGAACAAGCCCACAAAAGAAAATAATCTTAACTTTTTTGGACAGGGAGTTTCACATACAGCCGTGTTTGTCTGCTTCCTCCAGTATCCAGTAGGTGGTAATAGCATATCACAGATTGTTCATCTTTGTCTACCGAGTCAATCTGAGACTTTTTAGGTGCTAATATTGCCCTTTAGCAGAGCAAATTGAACTGTCTGTGTGGGACTCACCTCACTGATTTCATCCGCCTTTTGGATTCAGCTGGCCTCTCAGACATGAATAGCAATGGAACAAAATTTTATTATTTAATGCACCAAAATTTTATTATCTAATGCACCAAATACACCGGGTGTGTGTGTGTGTGTGTGATTCACATACAAGTATATTGTATGTGTTTTTCAGAGTTAAATTTCATATGTTCAGTATTGCCCAGGTGTTTGCACGCCACTTGTGTTGGGTTTTTTTACAAACTCTCATGTCTCATCAGCTTGGGAAATGAACAGTTACATACCAGACCCTCCAAGTGTCCCTATTTTCCAGGGACGTCCCTGATTTAGAGAAGCCATCCCCCTTTCTGATTTCATCCTGGAATGTCCCACTTTTTCTTAGGATGTCCCTCTTTTCATTGGTGAAATGGAAAATAGGGACACTTGGAGGGTCTACTGTTATTACAGTGCCTACTTGCCTTTAGGGCTAATTGACGTGGTGGTTTGCATGTGCTGGCATGCAGTGGTTGTTATTTACTACATTTTGAAATAATAATAATAATAATTTTTATTATTTCTACCCTGCCCATCTGGTTGGGTTTCCCTAGCCACTCTGGGTGGCTTCCAGCACATATAAAAACACAGTGCTTTTTTTCTTAAAGAAATGTTTAGGGGTACTCTCATTTTCCTACTCATATTGAAATACTGCCCCTCAGTGAGGCCAAACTTAGATTCACAAAATGTTTAGGGGTATGCCCTGCGTACCCCCCAGAAAAAAGCACCGTAAAAACATAATAAAATGAAAACATCCCAATACAGGGCTGCCTTCAGGCGTCTTCTAAAAGTTGTGCAGATCTTTATCTCCTTGACATCTGATGGGAGGGTGTTCCACAGGGAGGGTGCCACTGCCAAGAAGGCCCTCTGGCTGGTTAATGATTAATACATCCTCCTTCCTCTTCCAGGGATATATTTCTGTCTGTCCCATGTGCAGTTTGCATGACATGAACATCAGAGTTACCCCACGTTTTGAGAATCTTCTGCCTTCGTAGTACAATCAAAGTAATGAAAAAACTGCATCTCCCCAGCGTAATTGAAGGACTTTCTTGTACAGTGTGGATTTATATTGCACTAGATTCCTTTGCTTGTTTTTATTCCTGAAGTGCTAACACTCTCACCAAGTGCATTAACCAAATTTTAAACAGCCCATCACGGTGTCTTTTCTTCTGCTCAGGTCTGACTTTTCCCTCTCCAAGTATGTCAAGTTAGCGAGGATTAAAGAGAAAGAGAACTTCACTGAGAAGGAAAATTTGAATCCAGAAAGGCTCAAGGTCAGAAGCCAAAGGTTGTGATTTGCACAACAGGGACATCTGCCAAGAACGGATTTAAGAATTAATTGTAGATTAATTGTTGCATGCATTTTACTCATGGATCAGGGCAGGGATGAGGAAAGTTTTGTTGTGTGTGCCTCACGGCCAGTTTGAAATATGTAAATTGGCAAGCATGGAGGAGGCCCATTCTGTATCCCATTCAGATGGACACATGGTGCAATTTATATTGTTTTATGGGTATGGGGCGCTCTTCTTGTTTTCTTCATACTCTTATCTGTAAAGAAGGCTCTTTTTGTGAAGGCTGAATTTATTTACATGGCTCACTACTGTTGAACAGTGGAAAAGATAGATGAAGGACACAGCTCTGTTGGATTCACAGCTCTTTATTATAGCAGTTAGAACTGCTCCTGGAATCAGACTGACTGCAGCCTAGCTGGCTGCTTTATATAATACAGTGGTGCCCCGCAAGACGAATGCCTCGCAAGTCGAAAAACCCGCAAGACGAAAGGGTTTTCCGTCGCGGAGGCGCTTCGCAAGACGAAGTTCCCTATGGGCTTGCTTCGCAAGACGAAAACGTCTTGCGAGTCTCGCCATTCCCCCCCCGCTTTTCCCTCCCTTTTTCAAAGCCGCTAAGCCGTTAATAGGCTTTTAACAGCTTAGCCACTAAGCCCGCTAAGCCGCTAATAGCGCTAAATCGCTAATAGTGCTAATCCTCTTAGCCGCCAATGGGGTTGCTTCGCAAGACAAAAAAACCGCTAGACGAAAAGAATCGCGGAACGGATTCTTTTCGTCTTGCGAGGCACCACTGTACTAAGTAACTTGAAACAGTAACAACTCACAAGTAGCTAACCAATCAGGAGCGACAGTTTTCAATCCTTCACTTACATACTGGTGGCCCTGAGTGAGAACTGCAACTAATTTTAATACATAACAACTACTGTCAGTGGGACTTGACTACCTATCACTAAGACACAGCGGCGTAGCGTGGGTTGTCAGCACCCGGGGCAAGGCAAGTAATTTGCGCCCCCTAACCCGTGGATTTGCGCCCCCTAACCTGTGGATTTGCCCTAACCCCAGATGTTGCGCCCGGTGCGGCTGGCCCCCCCTGCACCCCCCACGCTACGCCACTGCTAAGACAGCCTTTTTATTTATTTTCTACCATCGCAACAATCCTATGGATTATGAAGTATCGCTATTACTTCCATTTTACAGGTGCGGGACTGAGGCAAAGATTAATGTCACACAATGAATCCATGACAGAGGTGTACTCACTCACTCTCTGTCTCCCTAACTGGCACTAGAAGATAATCAGTTAAAACTCACTGGCCTTAGTGGGACTTAACGGTGTGGCTAGCCAGGCAAAGCAAGCTGGCAAAAGCTTTTTAGCACCGTTTACAAGAGAGCTGTAATACATCATAGGAATTTTAACACTTTTAATACAGCTCTCTCTCTCTCTCTCTCTCTCTCTCTCTCTGTGTGTGTGTGTGTGTGTGTGTGTGTAATTTTTATTTTGTGTGCTTGCAGGCTCTCATAAACTATTTAGATTCTCCCGTGGAACTTGAGCAACTCTATGCAGCTCAGGTAAAGTTAAGACTTCTTATCTGGTTTTTTTTTTCGAGCTCGGCAAAGCCTTTCGAAAGGCTTGTTGTTGTTGTTGTTCTCCCCTTCCAGATTTCCTTTAATATATGAGCGCTATCTGCTTTTAAAAGAAACACATCAAAAAGCAACAAAGCTAAGATTATCAGAATTTTAAAACCGTTCCAAGATTCCAGGTCAGAAATCATACTGTAGATTAAGTCCTTTTACTGGTTAAACTTTGGAACTGACTGATGAGGGCCACCAGCTTGGATGACTTTAAAAGAGAATTAGATAAATTCGTGCAGGATAAGGCAACCAAGGGCTGCTAGCCATCATGGCCGTCTCCACAGTCAGACGCAGTATGCTTCTGTGTATCAGTTGCTGGAAAGTGCGGGCAGGGAGATTGGTCATGTTCTCAGGTCTGGCTTGCAGGTTTCCCATGAGCATCTCTTCGAGAACAGGATGCTGGACAAGATGGGTCATTGGCCTGATCCAGCAAGCCCTTCCTTTTTACATTAGCGGTAAGGAATTACAGTGGTACCTCGATTCTCGAACGTAATCTGTTCCAGAAGACCGTTTGACTTCCGAAATGTTCGAAAACTGAGGCACAAAGGGCTGGCTGCAAGTTCAGTTGGAAAAATTGGAAAACATGCAGTGGAAGCTGTTTGACTTCCGAGGCTCGCTCAAAAATGGAAGCAATTACTTCCGGGTTTTCGGCGTTCGAAAATTGAAATGTTCGGCTTCCAAGACACTCGAAAACGGAGGTACCACTGTATTTCCCATGGAAAGACACTGCGGTCCCATGTAAAAATTCAGATCCATGTGCCTATCAAATGTGTAGACCTTCTAGGAAAGGGCCATTGCTCATTGATAACAAATCTTCAGAAGCTCCCAAGTTCAGTCCCTCTCATCTCCAGGAAAGACTCGGAATGTCTCCTCTTTGAAACCCCAGAAAACCTCTGCCAATCAGTATAGAAAATACTGAGCTACATGGACCAGTGGTCCAACTCATTATAAAGCAGATTCCTAGTAACCTTTTTCCTGCTATACAGAGTTCTGCGTACCTTAGGGATGCTTATTTACGGTATTTGTTCTGGGTCAAGTTCGGAAAACCGGTTTGGAGGAATACAGAGGTGGCAAAGACCATTATTGGGGAAGCAAGGACCTTCATCTATTGGCCATGTTTGTGTGTTACACTAAATTGTCAGCGTAGGCGTGGTAACATCTGGTAAAGCCACTGCTAATTGTGTGTTTGCTTCTTTAAATTCTGTTAAGCTATAGAAGTATATATATACTTCTATATATATATGCCTTGCCGACAAAGATCCGTATAGTAAAAGCTATGGTTTTCACAGTAGTGATGTATGGAAGTGAAAGCTGGACTATAAAGAAGGCTGATCGCCGAAGAATTGATGCTTTTGAATTATGGTGCTGGAGGAGACTCTTGAGAGTCCCATGGACTGCAAGAAGATCAAACCTATCCATTCTTAAGGAAATCAGCCCTGAGTGCTCACTGGAAGGACAGATCGTGAAGCTGAGGCTCCAATACTTTGGCCACCTCATGAGAAGAGAAGACTCCCTGGAAAAGACCCTGATGTTGGGAAAGATGGCGGGCACAAGGAGAAGGGGACGACAGAGGACGAGATGGTCGGATAGTGTTCGCGAAGCTACCAGCATGAGTTTGACCAAACTGCGGGAGGCAGTGGAAGACAGAAGTGCCTGGCGTGCTCTGGTCCATGGGGTCACAAAGAGTCAGACACGACTAAACGACTAAACAACAACAACAACAAGCTATAGAAGTGACACAGCAGAAATAGAGCAAAGGTTTGGCTGGCCTCTAGACTCTCTGCCCATGTTGTGCTTCCCCAGAAGTCCTTTCAGCTAAAGCAGGAAACTTCGAAGTGGCGACTTGCCTTACCTTGCACCTGTTCCAGGTGGATGGGAACAGCTCAACTTGTTTATGGTAGGGGCAATAGTGTTGGAAAACGCCCTGGGGGTGTCTCTGCAGCCCCAAACTCCAAGCATCCTCTGGTATGCACAGCTCTGGAAAAGGCATTACCCTTCTTCTCCAGTGTGCTTCAGTGACATATATCAAATGATATATGCACACTAATCTAGCATAACATAGCAAGAAGCATGAGACATCGTAGAGCTCATCTATGTATTTATTCACACACTATGTACAGGCAAAGGATTCATGGCGTCTTCTTTCTCCAGCTCTGAGAGGAAACAGGCTTAATTCGTTCCGGAGGTCCGTTCTTAACCTGAAACTGTTCTTAACCTGAAGCATCACTTTAGCTAATGGGGCCTCTTGCTGCTGCCGCGCTGCCAGAGCACGATTTCTGTTCTCATCCTGAAGCAAAGTTCTTAACCCGAGGTAATATTTCTGGGTTAGTGGAGTCTGTAACCTGAAGCGTCTGTAACCTGAAGCGTATGTAACCTGAGGTACCACTGTAGTGGGTGATGAATGCCTTTTGTTCGAAGATGTGGTGGACCAGAGAAAGCAATCGAGTGTGGGTCAGCTGTGTGCCTTTTCAAAGCCTCTCCAGAAAGCAGTCTTGTAGTTTGTAGTGCATTTATATTTTTCAAGGCAGAAACAAATCTCTCTGCAGTTTCCCGCAGGAATTGGGAGAAGCCACCCTTGTGATTATTCTGATTTCTCTGCCTGTCTTCCTAGGCCCTTGGACAACTCGGGGTTGCTGAGGAATCTGTCACATCTGCACTTTTTAATACTGTAAGTAGAATCCCCATGGACTGTTGCCATCTTGTGATGGGCATTTCCAGACTTTTCTAACTAGATACTAAATGGGGCATTTGGCTAGTGCTGGTATGAATCTCCCTCATACTCAGTAGCATCTGGGAGGGAGGAGTGTGATGGGAACGGGATATCATTGTGTGACACCTCCCCTTGCCAGTTCACTAACTGTCACATGCAGGAGCAGCGAATTCTTGAATGTGGTAGCATCTCATTAGGCATTTCCTTTAACAGCTGTTTCTGGGGATACACATGGGGAGATGTGGGTCAGTGGCAGCCCTGCATCTCCTGTAACATCTAGTTAGGTAAAGGTAAAGGGACTCCTGACCGTTAGGTCCAGTCGCGGACGACTCTGAGGTTGCGGCGCTCATCTCACTTTACTGGCTGTGGACAGCATGACTAAGTCGCTTCTGGCGAACCAGAGCAGTGCACGGAAACGCCGTTTACCTTCCCGCCGGAGCGGTACCTATTTATCCACTTGCACTTTGATGTGCTTTCGAACTGCTAGGTTGACAGGAGCAGGGACCGAGCAACAGGAGCTCACCCCGTCACGGGGATTCAAACCGCCGACCTTCTGATCAGCAAGCCCTAGGCTCAGTGGTTTAACCCACAGCGCCACCCACGTCCCACCCTTCTAAGTCATCATATCTCACTGTTTGGCAATGGCATAGCCCACAAGGGAAATGGGTATGTGTGTGACTCTTCTGAGGTTAAATATAGAGCCCCTTGTAACTGTGGTCTGGAGCAAGACTCGCTGTAGTTATTACTGGGGAAAGTTTCCCTGTCATATTAAGAACTTGTTGGGGCTGGAGGGAATTTGCCTTATCATGCAGCATGACTTAATTAATTTATAGGTATTTGCTTTTCACGTGCCTCCTTTGTGCTTATGCTATATATACAATCTTGGATTGAGCTGTGGCCTGGTGAGTGGGCAGGCAGGGTGCTTGGCTTTGGTCTTTCGAACCCTTCCACTTCCATTCTGTGCCCCTGTGATATGCTTAGATTCATCGCATGTATAAGTAAGTGGTTTCCAGCTGGCCTGCCATGAGTACTTATTCTCTCAGTTCCAGGAAATGCAACAGCTTGCCTTTGCAGTATGAAGCAGCCCGGTCGCTGGCTTT